ACCGCGTGCTGACGCGGAACGCTGCTCTGTGTTTGGGAAAATGGCCGAGATGCTGCTGCTGGGCCACAGAAAATATCTGACGGAGCCCGTAATGGGATTCGTTGTGGGACGCCACGGAGAAGTCTAGTTGCAGGCGCGCTCTTGAATTAGACGGGGACGAGCGCGCGGGATCATTTTTCTCCTACGTTTTGGACTCTTATCGCTAATTGTTTCCACCCCCCCCCCCGCGCTGTGCTTATCAGTCACGTCTTGAGGTGAAGAGACATCCGACTGGCACCCCTTAAGTTAGCAGAGCGTAACACCACATCATAGCGTCTCTTTAATAGGCCTCTACTCTTACTGCTAGTATGGGCCTCCCACCGCCATCCCAGGCGCCCCTCCCATGTCCGCCTTTCACCCCTCCTCTTCATAGCCAGTGGTTATGTCACTGTATCAAGTCATGGTGTCTATTGAGTGGGTCCCTCTCACCACAAAGGCAAACCAGCCATCACTTGCATCGCACGCTCTCAGATGCGCTTCTGCGGCCGTCTGGAATGCTCTTACTTCCCAGATCAGGAAGCCACTTTGCCCCCCACACCTCCAATTAACACGGCTGGCTACGTACGGTGCGAAAGGGGTTCAACATACATGCACTATCCCCTCCATGTAAATAATCACGTTTCCGCAACGGTTTCATTTGATGTACGTGCACGCACACGCCACACGCCTTTAATTGAGATGGCTGGAAAAATACAAATTAAGTCAATAGCCAAAGCTGACACCCGGCCTCGGAGGTCCACTCACACACCGTGCCCCCCACCATCTGGCTCCAGGTCTTCCGCTGGGTCGCCGACCCCCGGGTACCACTCCACAATGCCTGTGTCGGTGGCCAGCCCTCCTCCATCCCGCACATGTGTTGTACGCACACCACGGCGCCTCCGCTACCCGATGATAATCTATAACGCTGCAGTTCATTGCGACCGTCTGTGTGTTATTTGAAAGATGACCAAATTGCTTCGCCTATCCTGCCGTGCCATTCCCAAGCATGCACTTGCATTCAAAGCTCAAAGGGCAGCTTTATTAATGCCAACAGACACTGCCAAGTTATAGGCTGGCATTTTGAATAACAAGGATTAAACCTCCACGCTAAATTATCTCCCAGAGATGGCCGTTGAGGGAGGGGGGTGGTAGGTCAAATTATATCCCAAACAACATTGATACGTTCTAGATTTGAAGCTTTCGTGACTGCAATTATTCATATTCTTAGGTTTTTTCGGTAAAGTCACGTAGTAAAAAAAATTAAAATGAAAATTAATAAAAATAAAATTAAAATAAAAATCACGACGTTTCGGAGGCAACACAAGCTTCCGTCTTCAGGCGGAACCGTCACAGCACGATTTCTGTATGAACATTGATACGATGGTTTTGGTCTGCTATGGTATATTGATAATTGGCCGAGGCCACCATACTCTCGACTTGAGCACCTGCTTTTCATAATAATGATTACAGGCAGATGCGCACGTCTCCGTCAAATTGGAAAGTTAAAAGACAGACGCCACAGCGGTGCGACTGTGGCCATGCAACCAAAACGATGGACCATCTGTAGTAAGCCCACTGCAACCTCCTGCTCCTTCGACAGAGCAGGAGGAACAGCAAAACCACAGGGACTCTCTCCTGAAGCCCTCTCGTGGCGAGCAGACTTGCACAACTTAAATTGCGTCTTTCATCATTGAATCTTAAGGCGCATTATATCAACGACAATGGAGGGGAAGGGGTAAGAAGTGGCCATAAAGAGAAATGTTTTTGGGCGGAACAAGAGTGAACCAGGCTCCCTGACAGCCTTCGGCAGTGAGTTCCGCAGTCCATGTGCCACGGGAAGCAAAGGGCCCCATCATACCATGGACTTCAGCGTCGTTCTGGGGATGCAGAGGCGATCGGGGTCAACCGACCTCAAGAGTTCTTGTTGGAACTTAGGGGGTGAGAAATCATTCAAGGCCTTCGAATTTGTGGAGGACCTTGAATCACACGGGTTGGTGGTGGCCCGGCATTTGATGACAGTCGATGAGATGGCTCTCAGTGTGCAGTCATTACGAGCCACCCCGACAGCCAGCTGCTGCTGCTGCTAAGCGTTGAGCAAACGAAACCAGAACAACGACTCACTGAGATTTAAAATAAATTAGAAACGCGATGACTTTTAAAATATCCATTCTCAAAACTGCAATGAGGGGGTGGGGGGGGGGGGGGTGGAGGGGGGGGGGGCGGCCTGGCTGCGATATTGGCCCGGTCCATCTCTGTGCGACTTTTGCCCCGAGGATCACATTCACTTTCGCAGTTTCGATGCCGACGTCCCACGGCTTCACACAATCAAAGGGGTTTAAATCCAGGGGATCACGAAAGAGGGGGGGGGGTCCTGCATTCTCCTAGGGAGCTGAGGGGGGCATCATCAGAAGACCTCGAAAAGGTTAAGGGGGGCCACAAGGGGTTCGCGGCTATGCAACGGCAAAAATGGGGGGGGGGGGGGGGGTCGGTGCTGGATACACAGAGGAGCACCCCGCTGATACGCAGGCCTCAGCCGGTTTTGGCTTCCACCAACAGTGTATTAACGGCCGTAATGTTATTGATTAATCTGGTTCTTTCATGAGGGTTTCTGCAGAGAAATGTCTGGCCAATTTCCTTCCATAGCACTATTGCTCATACGACTAGAGTACTCTGAACGTGGGAGGAAAGAGTACCGGGAGAAAACTCACGCATACAAGGTCACAACGCACAAAGCCACTTGCTGTACTGTGCCACCTTGTGACCATTCCACGGCCAAGTGGGTTTGAGGTTCACAAATATCAGCAGCCACGGCGGCGGCGGCGATGACAGAAGCGATCCACGACCATCACCATGAGCTGTGCCAGCGGTGAGGACTGTGGTAACGAAGGCGGTGATCCATTGTCATATCTGCACCCATCATTGTCCCCCATCATCACAATCACTGGTAACAAAGCACACGTGGTCTTTCACTGCCTTCGTAGCCTTGATATCATCTGCACACCCCGAGGATAATCATGTGATTTGAGCACCCATCCGTGGTTCTTTGCTTTCATCTGTGCACTCGCGGATGGTTGGAAGGCTGATCCGCTAATAAACGGGAAGAACCGCAAATCAGCCAGACCCCGCGTATATTAGACGTTGTGGATTACTGGGCCACTGATATGGGGTTTCACGATACAGTAATAGGATCGGTGAGATTTTGGTAGTGGTTGTGAAGGTTTTTAAGTCCAAAATATGGTTAAAATCTTATTTTTTATCAGACCGGTAAAAACAACAATAAAAAATAGTGGACGTTGAAATATCACAAATCAATCTTGGTAAAAAAAGTAAACAAATATAAATTACCGAAAGAACCAAGAGTCTTAATATAAATGTAATCTTAAAGTGCTGGTAAATCTTTAAAAAAAAAAATATTTCATTTACTTTCAACGAAATATTATGCACGTGAAAAACTTGACCAACATGGCTATGCAACAGCGATGGTGGCCAGAACAACATTTTACCCTCGCTAGGTTATGTTAGCACCTCAAAAAAGACAGAGACCAATTCCATTTAGGCCCTGCCTTCAAGATCATAACGGGGGCTCACATTCTATACACGCGTGCGTGCAAAAATGTTTGCACGGCGCGCTTAATGACCTGCTTGCTGCAGATGTTGCGCAACACGCGGCGGGTCCCTGTAAACCTGAACACTCGCACCAGGGGAATGTGCACGTGATCTTGGAGGTGTTCTCAATTAGCGCGCATCAAAGCCGTGACAATTCTCGCTTTTCGTAGAGCCCCCCCCCCCCCCCCCCCCCCCCCGCTGTGTGCGGAGAGAAAGAAAAATACATTCTCCACAATATTCTTAGGTTTTTTCGGTAAAGTCACGTAGGTAAAATGTTTTTATTAATAAAAGTTAAATAAAAATAAAATAAAAATCACGACGTTTCGGAGGCAACACAAGCTTCCGTCTTCAGCTGTATACTGCTATCGTGCTGTGACGGTTCCACCTGAAGACGGAAGCTTGTGTTGCCTCCGAAACGTCGTGATTTTTATTTTATTTTTATTTCACTTTAATTAATTTAAATTTTTTACCTACGTGACTTTACCGAAAAAAACTTAAGAATATGAATCCTTGCAGTCACGAAAGCTTCAAATCTAGAACATTCTCCAACAGCCAGAAGTCGACCCGGAACCTCGCGGTAACGGCAGACGGGCGATTAAGAATGGTTGTCAAAAGAGCGTAAACAGGCACCCATGTTGCTTCACTGACTCCAGTTTTCTTAACGGCGGCAATTCACGTTTTCCACTTTTCGACCGGTGGCTTAAGCCCTGGGTGCTGCTCTTCTTGTGGCTGATGAAGCCCCCGCCGAGCCTGCAAGGACACGTTCGATTCTTTTTTTTACTCTACTCACGCTGCACGGCCTTAAACATCTTTCACCTCAGTGCACGTCGCTTGATAAATGTGTCCCTTGCAGAAGAAGCGGGACTCTAAAGATTCGGGGGGGGGGGGGGGACATTTGCGTTTACGGCTAACAGCTGTTTTGGCAGCATCGCTCGCGCCCGGCCGCTATTTTTAAACCGTCAGGAATACCGAGGGGTCAGCGCGCGCGTCAATAACCGCGCGGTGGGCGCGCGCCGCTCGGAAGCCTTTAATGAAGCGGCCTGCCGCGCTCGCTGCCAATTAACAAAGTGGCGCATATTGACCGGATAATTGGCGCGACGGCCGTTAGCGGCGACGGGGAGGCGGTCCCACAATGGTGGGAGGACGGCGAATGAAAAACGAACGCACCGGCGCAGCCGAGGCAAGGTCAAAGTGAGCGGGGGACGTTTGCGGCGGGCAAAAGTTCGCGAGAGACGAAAATCGCTCTCGCGAGCGAGCGCGAGAGAGAGAGAGAGAGCGAGCGATAGTTATAGAGCGGGGGTTTTCAAGCTTTTTGGGAAAGAGGATCCCTTTCGCAGTCTGCAGACCCCCTGCAGACCCCTTACCCTTTCACAGACCTTCCTAATGTGGCCTCAAGGGGGTCTCTTCTCTGCACCCTCTCAATTGTGAGCCCTTGGTGGTGAGAACAAAAGCGGGACATACAGCAGTAGGACAGACGGATATTGCCGCGGTGTAACGGTTAGCGCACGGGACTTGCAAGTTGCTGGACCGATCTTCCGACGCGGCAGTTTAAACAATGGGCATGTTTCTTAAATTCCTGCCTCCCACCCCCGTGCCTCTGTCCAACCAGCAGTGTAAATGGGCACGACCGGCAGTTAATTCGTTGGCAGGCCACGTGTGGTGGGATAAAGTGTGTGGGTAATCCTATCCCTTACAAGATGTCTGGCCGGCGTGGAAGACTAGGCCAAAAATACCCCCAAGAGGGGGCTTCCTTCTGCCAGAATGAGCAGGCAATTAGTACGGTTGGCTATGCACGGTGCGAATGAGGCTTTTTCCCTTCCTTTAAAAAAAATTTAGCTATGGGTTTAAAAAAAATTATTTGTTGTTGGAGTGTTGTTATCACTCGCCTGCATGCTTGTATTGGGTTTTACTGGGTTTTTGTTTTACTTTGTACATTTTACTTCTGTTTTTACCTTTGCGCAGTGCCTTATGACGTCCGGGTAAAAGGTTCTTTGCAAGGATAAATTATGGTTCTCAATTATTAAATTGCAGAATGTCACATTTATTTTTTACTTTAGTTTTACCGCAAAGGTTTTTTTTGTAATCCAGTTGCCAAAATACTAAATATATTGGACTTTAAGTCAACTCTCATACAAACACACACACTCCGTAATCCTGAATGCATGTCTAAAACACACATCACCCTGACCATAATGCACAAGAACTGCTGTCGAGACTAACAGCAGAGTGGCAGCCAAAGGAGAAGGATTCGATTAAATAAACTCGCGGGAAAATTTACCCCCCACCCGGACGAGTTAAATTAATTTAAAATGAACACATTCAGCTAAATCATGGGACCTACTTCGCCAGTACCAAAATATGATGATAGGTTTTTCCTCTTTTTACTTGCAACAAAACAGGTGTCAAGATGTTAAAACACCAAACTGAAACCTTTTACAAGGAATCATGTCTGCATTAACCACAATACTTGTGGTCAGAATGCAAACCAAAAACATACTCTGATAATATATGCATTGTCTTTTAAACTGATTGGTCCACACCAGAGACAGCTTTCTTTGGAGCCTAGTCTCAAAAGTCCTTAGACCAGAGGACGCCTTTCGGCGCCTTTTGGCGTCCTCTGGTCTAACACACCTTTTGGCGTTCTCTGGAGTTCTAATGTGTATATCCGGAGCGTGTGTTGGTGAGCACCGTATCAACAGAGATGGACGTTAGCATCGCGAGACCACGGGAGATGGCTCCGGCTTTTGGAGGCTTTCATTGATGACGATGATGATGGCGGCGGCAGTGGTAGCGGTGCCTACGAATGCAAATATCTGACACTAACCCCAACCACCTAAACTCGTCCAACGAAAATCCTGGACGCTGACCCATAGCTGCCTGCCGTTAATTTCCTACGGCCACGAAGCGTAGCTCAGCACACTTTCGGGGTGTTAGGGCACCGGCGGAGAGGGGGGGGGGTGAGGTCCTGGCTATTTATGGAGCCCTGTGCCCATCTCAACGAATAAAAAAACCTTGTGGGAGCAAAGTGCTCGGGCAAGCAAGCAGGGGCAGCGAAACCTGAGACAAAGCGGGGGGGGGGGGGGGGGGGGGGGGAGGACACACACCCACAATTGCTACACGGGGTCCACACTGGCGAAGATCTCTGCCGGTGTGGACCTCGAGCTCAGATTGTTGGGGCAAGTCCTGTTAGCGAGCACCTCTTAAGGATGGTATGACACACGAGGGGAGGGGGGAGGAATGTGGGAAGCCTTCCCAGAGCTGAGGTTTACACACTGCACCAGGTACTGAATTTAGTCGACCTAGGGGAGGCCCAGGATCGGTTCAGATATTCACCATCGATGTTGTTAGCCTTGAGCGGTAATCAAACTTGGGTCACCAGATCTGAAGCGCGATTGCGCGAACCACTACACTACCGCTGGCCACATGCACGCATGCTCATGCGCGCGCGTATGCAAACTTGAAGGTTCCTTTTTGTCGCGGCTAGCACAGACCGCAGGGGTGCCGTACTGCTCACGATGGGGTGGACAGGTCAAGGCCTCGCTTAGCCGGCAATCTTTCGTCTTCATCTGCGCAGATGTGAATTATAATCAGTCCACTCCAACGTGGTCCTCGGTTTATGTTACGTCAACGTAGGGAAGGAGGATGCTGCCGTGATGAGTTAGCAACACTGGACTTTGCAATCCACCGGAGTTCATCGGTTCAATCTCCCGGCGCGGCATTTGACGCAATGGCACGCATTTCGTAGATCCCAACTGCCTCTGGTTCACCCAGCAGTTTCAATGGTCACGACACAATTAGTGGAATTAACATGTCACATGCGTTGGACTAAAACGTGGGCACATATTCCCACCTCCTTCCAAGACGTCTTAGCCGGCGTGGAAGTTGTCGGCCAAAATACCATTTGGAGGGACTCGATAGAGCTTCCTCTCACGGAGGCCCTAGTGCCAGCAGTGGCGTGAGCAAGCAATTGCAGGACTGCACCTCTCTCACTGACTGAAATATCTTACATTCCGCTGCATGGCACCGAAGGGCACCGTGATGGCGAGATGTCAACTACCTCGCCTGGCATGCAGGACGCCGTGGGTTCGATCCCTACCCTGCCGCCTGCTGTCTATTTGGAGTTTGCATGTGTCTCTCCCCGTGGTCACGTGGATTTTTCTCAAGACTCCCCCAGTTTTTCTCTCCACATTTAGAATCAACAACAACACCCGTTCAGAATATCTGGCTGCTATAAATTTCCACGCGATAAGCCACTTCGTTGAGTTAGCATTTGAGGCCAGGTCGCTTATGAAAAAGAGCTATCAAGCTCAGTGGGCCTTACCTGGTAAAATAAAAAAAACATAGTAAAATAGTAAGAATGGGTAGAGGTACCGATCGCGCATGCGGGATCAGGAAAGGACTCAGGCTCTCTAGGATCGTATCGTGTACAGTATTTGGCCTCATGTATTTTTACCCCCCCCGTCCCGTTCTCCTTTGCCAAATAAATGTGTCTCAATGGGCTCACATCGGATTACGCCGTTGATTGACTGATAATGGCGCGTGTTAATAACGACCGCGGCAGCGTTAGAGACACACACACTCACTACAACCGACTCACATGCCAAATAACATAAACCAACGATCCACACACCGACATAGGATTATAGACTGGTCCACAGGCACACAGACACACAACGACCAACACTTACATACAAATATACTGACGCGCAACACGCAAGATATTATTATTATTCGGGCACGTGTTGTTAGCGAGCAGCTATGAAGGTTGACAAGGCGTACGAGGGGATGGTGTGGCCGGCACCATGCCCAGCCACCTTCAATGTTTACACACGACACCAGCTCATTTTAGGCTGTGCAGAACTAGGAGAGACCCAGGACCGGTTCAGATAATCGTGACTGGTGTTGACCCTGAGCCAGAATGGAACTCGGACCGCAGGATTCGTAGTGCTCTACGCTAGCCACGACACTGCCGCTTCCTATACAAAGACAACTATCCTCCGGATAGCCTTAACAGATTTTTGGGGCAAGTGCTTCCTATTCAAAAGATGCCCCCGTGTAGCCTGAACAGACTGTAGGGGCAAGTGGGGTTAGCGAGCACCTATGAAGGCCAAAACGGCACACGAGGGGGTGGGTGGCCAGCACCACGCCCGACCGCCTTTGTCTCCCCAGTGGCGATGTTTACATATTGCACCAGATATTCATTTGAGGCTGAGTCGACCTAGAGGAGGCCCATGACCGGTTCAGATAATCATCACTGGGTGTTGGCCATGAGCGGGAATCGAACTCGGGTCGACGGGTTCGTAGCGCAGCGTGCTAACCGCTACACCACCGCTCCCCACCATACACACCCACTGACACACACGACGAGTCATTACACTGATACAACTCACACGCAGCACACAAACTGACCCACATACTTCCATACAGTGCGATGTCAACACCGCATGACATAATTGCCCGGGCGACACGAAGAGTTCGACTTCGATGTCCCTCCACACCCGTGCACACAAAGACAAAGAGCCCCGAGTAGCCTCAACAGACTGCAGGGGCAAGTGCTGTTATCGAGAACCTATGAAGGCCGGCACGGCACACGAGGGGTGGAGGTGGCCAGCACCATGCCCGGCCACATTTGTCTCTCTAGTGGCGATGTTCACACACCGCACAAGGTACTTCATTTGAAGCCGAGTAGACCTAGGGGAGGCCCATGACCGGTTCAGATAATCGTCACCGGTGTCGGCCACGAGCGGGAATCGAACTCGGGTCGCCGGGCTCGTATCACAGAGCGTTGACCGCTGCTACACGACCGCTCCCCACACACACACACACATGCTGACAGCACGTGTGTGTGTGCCCTGCTCACACGGTATGCACCACAATCCCATCTCGCACTCCGCGCGTGTAAGGCTACGGCTACTCGGTTATCCGTGTCTCTCCTTGCTCGCAACAAGCATTGGGGGTGGGTGGTTGCTCATCCCCGCAGCTGAGCCATGTGCTCGAAATTCCACATTCCCACAGCAGGGGCCAGTCTATTCATAGGCCGACCGCCTTTGGGGCGGGGTCAGAAAGTGGTACTCGTTTTATAGACGCTTGAAAAAGATGATGGGCTCAGTTGGCCGCCGACTGGGATTTGAAATCACAAGCTTCCAACTTAGAGTTAGGGGTACTCAATGTCATGCGGCTGGATGTAAGAGGTGGGTCAATTCAGTCGGCAAAAAACAAGTCCAGAAGCATGTGCGCGTGTGCACAGCCCTCTGTCAAACCACTGCTGCATGGAAGTCTCTCAACGCCGTGTTGGTCACGTGGCTTGTTTGATCGTACTTCACCACGCTGGTCAGTGCGAGTTGAAGGGAAACAAGGGACCCAAGACGGGTTTGCCACTGATGTTAGCTCAGCCTAAGGATCAGACTCGGGTAACCGGCTTCACAGCCCAGTGCGCTAACCACTGCACCACCACTCCACCCCTACGGAACCGTTAAGACTTTCAATTTTTCAATTTTACACGTGTATTATGTAATGCAGTTCTACACCAATTCAGTCCATTGTGCCTCTTCCTCGTGAATGTATATCGGTGGCATTTGCCTAAATATACTAACTTGTACATTATTGTACGTACGTTGAACTTATTTCGCACCGTACGTAACCAACCGTGCCAATCAGAGGTGCGGGGGAAGGACAACAAACGAAACACAAAAAGCAGTTGTGAAAAAAATTAGTTTTCAATCTACATGATTTAAAAGTGCATGGCTCTAGTGGCTTGCTAATATCGCAAGAGCGTTCCAGACGGCCGCAGAAGCGCATCTGAAATCCCGCGATGCGGTGACCGTCTTTGTTCGATGGCCAGCAGCCAAAAGCCGCCGCTTCTAAGAAGACGACCGGAGTTTGTGTGATGATGGTTTACGCTCCTTGACGAATTATTGCTGAGGCTCTTCGGGGAGCTGTAGCCTGTTAGAGCAATTCCACTGGGTCAGATGATGTTTTGGGCAGAAGCCCCCATTTGCAAGCACCCACTTATAATGGACAGTTGCAAGCAATGGGTCCCGACGATGGTAGGGGGCCATCCATTTAGTACGTACGCATGGAGGGGAGAGGGGGGGTTAACCCAAATGCGTACGCTTGCGTATGGGGGGTCTGATGACAATGTACGTACGCATAGGAAATGTAGGGGGGGGGT